GAGCTGAAGGCAGACGCTTAACAACTGAGTCACCCAGGCGCCCCAAGAAATTTTTTTTTAAAGATTTTATTTATTTATTTATTTGAGAGAGAATGAGAGAACACAAGTAGGGGGAGTGGCAGAGGGAGAGGGAGAAGCAGGCTCCTCACTAAGCAAGGAGCCCAATGAGGGGCTCGATCCCAGGACTCTGGGATCATGACCTGAGCCAAAGGCAGGTACTTCATTGACTGAGCCACCCAGGCATCCTGAAAAATTTGTTTCTTAGGAAAATGAAAGTTTGAAGAATTTAAATGATTTACTAGAAGACTAAAAAATATTCTGGAAAAAAAAGCTTTATTAAGAGAATTTAAATGAAGAAACTGATAGAAAATGAAAGAAAATTATGTGCCCTTTCAAGACCTTTACATTCAATATTCCAGTTCTTCATTTTCTTGATACAACTGTATCACTATCATAATTTTTCCTCTCATGAATAAGAGGAAAAAAGAGGTGGGAAGTATCCTGAGGAAGAGAATGAGCAATCTGTGAATCCTGAGATTGAAACTAACTATATAACACAAATGTGGAGGAAATGCAAATGATTAGCAGAGAAGTGTTCAATGAAAAAGTCACTAGTAAGTCACATATGTTATAACTAAAGAAATGTTGAACATACATCACATGCATTTCAGGGTCAATATCCCATACCTTGCACAGTTACTCAAAATAGATTTTTCTCTTCTTTCCTGACCATTTTGCCAAATAAAAATGATCTACCTAAAAAAATTTGTCACAATCAAGATCTTCAGTGACTTGTCATTGCCTACAATGAATGCACTGTTTCATAAATACCGTTCAACTTATTATTCGTTGCCTGTATATGTTTAAGAGTCACTATAAAGAAATAATGTGTTGAATAAACAAGTACGAGACATATTAATACAGTGGATAAATGTGCTAGAACAATGCTACTCCAAGCTTGATCCACTGACCACCAGTATCAGCATCACATTAGAGGTGGAACATCTGTTTTAGCAGGTTATCCATGTGATTCTTACGAATTACAAGTTTTAGAAACTCTGTTCTAGAGAGCTAAAAAGGAGGGGACCTAAGTTCTCTTAGGGATGTCACCCTCCCAAGGATATGGAAAACATCTGCTATGCAGCTGGAACTGTTAAACCCTCTCAAAAGTGCTCTGTGATAAAAGGAACAGGGTTCAGATGTCTGACTCCTAAGGACCATTTAGCCATGCTAGCTTGCAGTCCTTTTGAAAGATGTAGCTTCAATATCGTGAGTTGAGTATATTTAACATATATATTAACATGCTTGTGTGTAAATGGGCTTAAAAAATACATATATTTATAGCAGAATTGGAGTCACAGCTAAATAACATTTAAACAACACTTTCATTTTAAGTAGACATAACAGAATTTTAAGTTTACAGAATTAACAATGCATAACTTACATTCATTTTACGTATTCAAAAAAACTAAAAGAACTGAAAGCTGAAAAATATGAGAGGTAGTGGTACCTAATGAGTGACATTTTGACAGTCTATTAAATATTATGTATTAGATTACAGGAAAAAGGGAGCTAAATTCTAAGAGAATAAATACAAAAAAGGTCAACCCATGATCTTGGGAAAAAAGAAGGGAAGGAAGGAAAATTATTTTCAAAATGTACTATAAAAATTGTTAGACCTGCTTCAGTGACAATAAGCAGAAGGTAATTACTCTTGTTGGCATAACAGGTGAGAGGAAAGACGTCCATGTCCTTGCTTTTTTGTTAGTCCTGGTCATTCCCACTCTGTTCTCCTTCCTTGTTGTTGCCATGACTTGGTTTCATTATTCCAAATTGAAGACTAAAAACTACATTACTAACAATTTTACTTTATATATTGTGTCTTGGGTAAAACTCATTTGTTGTGGTTACTGATTGGGAGGAAAAAGAATCCAACAGGGAGCAAATTCCCAGATGAGGCTTCTATGCTGGTTTGGTGCACACACTTTGAGAACCACTGCTTTAATGCAGTCGGTAATCAGTCACAAGGACTGGTAGGTAGACACTAAATGGAAAACAGAATCTCCTTGTGTAGGTTTTTAGGACATAGAATATTAGTTACATGTTTGCCACCTGCTCAAAAAACAGCCAAGAATATCTTCATCTTTAAGAATTACAACTGACAAAATTAGTAGGTAGACAAAATTTCTTTCCAAAGATGAACCCAAACCTAAATGATTTTTTAAGAGACAGTGTTTATTTGCCTTTATCAGGATTACTGTAGAATCCAGTGTTATGGGACTTGCTCAGCTAGACTATTTAAGTTTTGATATCTATATCCTTGGACTAACTTGAAAATGAATAGTATAAATTCAAAATTTCTGCCCTCATTAAATAAAAATAAGAATTTCTAAATGTTTTTTTACCTTTGTGTTAAGATGATAAGTAATCTTATTTCACTTGTTTTTTAAACCTGATTATTAAAAAACAAAATAGTAATAAAAAATAATTCATCTGGCAAATGTACTGTTTGTAGATATTAGCCACTTGTTAAAAACACATTTCTATTAAAATTGTTCTTAAATTCTTAGATTTAGAGCACCTGATATCTGGACCCAGTTGAGGTTTTATTTTACAGATTAAAATGCATGGACGACAATACATTACAATAATTAATGAAGCCGTTCTAGTTTAGCCTGAAGAGATTTAAAATTTCCTGTGATGGCTTGTACTGCCACTGAAGAGCTCATAGACTGAAGCTCAACCAGATAACCACAAATGGCATCCAGGCACAGATTCGTAAATCTTCTCCTGTAAAGGAAAAGATACCTGATCAACTATTGATACATTTAGAAACATTTCCTCCTGTAAGACTTCTCTCCAACTTCTGCTAAACTTACTATAGTCCCAGAAAGAACAAGGAGCATATGATTAAGTAAATGGTAAATAAATGAAAACAGACAAGAAATGCAGGGGGTAGGTGAATTACCACATGACCACCATATTCCTTTGGAAGATTATAATGGGAAGGAGGCAATAAGGATGACTCCTTAAATTAATATTAAATTATTTACATTCTTTTGGTCTTTTCAAACAAATATACCTTCTAATGGCCAATAATCTCACAAAGACATAACTGAATTGCCCTAGATCACTAACTCAATGCAGAAAGAGTTCACAAGTAATTCATAAATTACATCATTTACCTATAGAAAGAATTCAGGACAGGGGTTGAAAAGAAAAACTCTAACCTTTAATACATACTAACTATTTGATATCATTCAAATAGTTAATCTCCATATCTTCCATTATAACTTTATTGCTCAGATACGTATTAGAAACATTTAAGCTTTTGCCATAATACAATACCTAATTCATAGTTACCTCTCACAATTTAAAACCTGGCTAGGATTCTCAACATATCTTGCCAACAGTACATGTATACAATCCAAAAGGTGCAGTGGTTTCTTCATTCTGTTCCAGAATGGATCCTATAAAGAAAATATACGTCATGAGTTGTAAAGCAAACTGTGTCAACTGATTTTTCAACCATTTATGTTATTAGTTAAACCAGTTATCAGAGTCCCAGGCAAAGCGCTGTAACACTGGGTGTGCTGACGGTTCTCACTATTCTGTGAGGACACCTGCAGACTGAAAGTGAGGGGATAGAGAACCATAATCATGCAAATGGACATCAAAAAAAAGGGGGGGGGGCGCCTGGGTGGCTCAGTTGGTTAAGCGACTGCCTTCGGCTCAGGTTATGATCCTGGAGTCCCGGGATCGAGTCCCGCATCGGGCTCCCTGCTCGGCGGGGAGTCTGCTTCTCCCTCTGACCCTCTTCCCTCTCGTGCTATCTCTCATTCTCTCTCTCAAATAAATAAAATCTTAAAAAAAAAAAAAATAAAAAAAAAAAAAACCAAAAGCTGGAGTAGCCATACTTGTATCAGACAAACTAGATTTTATTTATTTTTAAGATTTTTGTTATTATGTATTTATTTGTCAGAGCACAAGCAGGGAGAGCTGCAGGCAGAGGGAGAAGCAGGCTCCCTGCTGAGTAGGGAGCCCGATGGGGGACTCAATCCCAGGACTCTGGGATCATGACCTGAGCCAAAGGCGGGTGCTTCATTGACTGAACTACCCAGGCGCCCCCGGACAGAGTAGATTTTAAACCAAAGACTGTAATAAGACATGATGAAGGGCATTTTATCATAATAAAGGGGTCTATCCAACAAGATCTAACAATTGTACATATTTATGTCCCTAACTTGGGAACAGCCAAATATATAAACCAATTAATAACAAACTTAAAGAAACTCATTGGTAATACAGTAACAGCAGGGAACTGTAACACCCCACTCACAGCAACAGACAGATAGATCATCAACAGAAGATCAACAAGGAAAAAAGGCTTTGAATGATACCCTGGACCAAATGGACTTCACAGATATATTCAGAGCATTTTAACCTAAAACAGCAGAATACAGATTCTTTTCGAGTACACATGGAAGAATCTCCAGAATAGATCACATACTGGGTCACAAATCAGGCCTCAAAAAGTACAAAAAGACTGAGATCATACCATGCATATTTTCAGACCACAATGCTATGTAATTTGAATTTGGAAAGACTACAAATACACGGAGGTTAAAGAATATCCTACTAGGGGCGCCTGGGTGCTCATTCAATTAAGTGTCTGCCTTTGGCTTAGGTCATGATCCTGGGGTCCTGGGATAGAGCCCTGCATCAGGGAGGCTCCCTGCTAAGTGGGGAGCCTGCTTCTCCATCTCCCTCTGCCCCTCTCCCTTCCTCGCATGCACGCTCTCTCTCTCTCTCTCTCTCCTCTCTCTCAAATAAAGAAGTAAAATCTTAAAAAAAAAAAATCCCACTAAAGAATGAACCGATAAACCAGGAAATTAAAGAAATAAAAGAATACATGAAGGCAACTGAAAATGAAAACACGATGGTCCAAAACCTTTGGGATGCAGCAAAAGCAGTCATAAGAGGGAAATACATAGCAGTACAGGCCTACCTCAAGAAGCAAGAAAAGTCTCAAATACACAACCTAACCTTACACCTAAAGGAGCTAGAAAAGGAACAGCAAATGAAGCCTAAGCCAGCAGAAGAAGGGTAATAATAATAAAGCTAGGAACAGAAATAAATGATATAGAAAACAAAACAACTAGACCAGATCAATGAAACTAGGAGCTAGTTCTTTGAAAGAATTAAGAAAATTGATAAACCCCTAGTGAGACTTACCAAAAAGAAAACAGAAAGGACCCAAATAAATAAAATCACGAATGAAAGAGATCACAACCAACACTGCAGAAATACAATTATAAGAGAATATTAGGAGCAATTATATGCCAATAAATTAGGCAATCTGGAAGAAATGGATGCATTCCTAGAAACATATGAACTACCAAAACTGAAACAAGAAGAAATAGAAAATCTGAATAGATCCATAATCAGTAAAGAAATTGAATCAGTAATCAAAAATCTCTCAACAAGAGTCCAGGGATGGATGGCTTCCCAGGGGAATTCTACCAAACATTTAAAAAAGAATACCTATTCTTCTGAAACTGTTCCAAAAAATAGAAACAGAAGGAAAACTTCCAAACTCATTCTATGAGGCCAGCATTACCTTGATTCCAAAATCAGACAAAGACCCCCTAAAAAGGAGAATTACACGGGGATCTTGGATGGCTCAGTCAGTGGAGCATTGGACTCTTGATTTCTGCTCAGGTCATGATCTCAGGGTCGTTAAGACTGAGCCCCACAGCGGGCTCCATGCTCAGTGCAGAGTCTGCTTGTCCCTCTCCCTCCCCCTTTGCGCCTCACCCTGCTCGCACACTCTCTCTAAAATAATAAATAAAATAAATTTTTAAAAAAGGAGACTTACAGACCAATATCCCGATAAACATGGATGCAAAAATTCTCAACAAGGGGCTCCTGGGTGGCTCAATTAAGCAGTCAACTCTTGATTTTGATTCAGGTCATAATCTCACGGTCCTGGGATCAAGCCCTGCATTGGGCTCAGTGCTTAGCAGGGAGTCAGATTGAGGATTCTCTCTCTTCCTTAGCCCCTTCCCCTGTGTATGCTCTCCCTCTCTCAAATAAATAAATAAATCTTAAAAAAAACAATTCTGAGCAAGATACTAGCTAATCGGATCCAACATTACATTAAAAGGATTATTCGCCACAACCAAGTGGGATTTATTCCTGGGCTGCACGGGTGGTTCAATACCCACATATCAAGCAATGTGATATACCACATTAATAAAAGAAAGGATAAGAACCATATGATGCTCTCAATACACGCAGAAATAGCATCTGACAAAATACAGCATCCTTTCTTGATAAAAACCCTCAAGAAAGTAGGGATAGAAGGAACATACCTCAACATCATAAAGACCATATACAAAAGACTGACAGGTAATATCATCCTCAATGGGGAAAAAAAACACAGCTTTTCTGCTATGGTCAGGAACAAGACAGGGATGTCCACTCTCACCAATGTTGTTCAACATAGAACTGGAAGTCCTAGCCTCAGTAATCAGACAACAATAAGAAATAAAAGGCATCCAAATCGGCAAGAAGTCAAACTTTCACTATTCACAGACAACATGATACTCTATGTAGAAAACCCAAAAGACTCCCCCCAAAAATTGCTAGAACTGATAGAGGAATTCAGCAAAATTGGAGGATATAAAATCAATGCACAGAAGTCTGTTGCATTTCTATACAGCAATAATGAAACAGCAGAAAGAGAAATCAAGGAATCGATCCCATTTACAACTGTACCAAAAACCATAAGCTAACTAGGAACAAACCTTAACAAAGAGGTAAAAGATCTGTACTAAGACTATAGACACTTATGAAAGAAATTGAAGATGAAACAAAGAAATGGAAAAATGTTCCATGCTCATGGAATGGAAGAACAAATATTGTTAAAATGTCTGTATTACCCAAGCAATCTACATATTTATGCAATCCCTATCAAAATAACACCAGCAATTTTCATAGAGCTAGAACAAACAATCCTAAAATTTGTATAGAACTAGAAAAGACCCCAGATAGCCAATGTTGAAAAAAAGAAAACCAAAGCTGGAGGCATCACAATTCTGGACTTCAAGCTGTATTACAAAGCTGTAATCAAGACAATATGGTACTGGCACAAAAACAGACACACAGATCAATGGAACAGAATGCCCAGAAATGGACCCACAACTATATGATCAATTAGTCTTCAACAAAACAGGAAAAAATATCCAATGGAAAAAAAGTCTCTTCAACAAATGGTGTTGGGAAAATTGGACAGCTACATGCAGAAGAATGAAACTAGACCACTTTTTTACACCATACAAAAAAATAAATTTAAGGAACTTCCTGAAGATCTTCTGCGTGCAGGTGGTGTCACCCGGAGCATGAGCTGCTTCACAAGGGTACTGAAGACAATGGCCAAGAACAAACTAAGAAGGCAGAAATCCAGGAATGTATTTCATACAGCCAGCCAAAAAAACTAAGTCTAAAAACAAAGCAAAACCAGTTACTACTAACCTTTTTTTTTATAAAGATTTTATTTATTTATTTGACAGAGAGAGAGACAGCGAGAGAGACAGCACAAGCAGGGGGAGTGGGAGATGGAGAAGCAGGCCCCCCGCCGAGCAGGGAGCCCGATGCGGGGCTCAATCCCAGGACTCCGGGACCGTGACCTGAGCCGAAGAAGTCAGACGCTCAACGGCTGAGCCACCCAGGCGCCCCCAGTTACCACTAATCTTAAGAAGATAAACATTGTATATGTGCTGCCTCAGTGAGCACTGAAGATAAACATTGTGAATGATGAAAAAATTAAGAGTGAATAAAGCTTCTGTAGATATACAAAAGGAACTTGCCCATTTCTCAAAAGGCCTTTCCTTTGAACCCTTGCAGAAACAGCTGATTCCTCAACAGTGTCATGAAAATGAACCAGTTAATGTTGATGAAGCGACAAGATTAATGGCTCAGTTGTAATACACTGGAGATAATCAAATACCCCCAAAAGACCAATAAATTAAACGTTTTATACAGTTCAATAAATAAATAATTTTAAAAAATCAAAATGGACAAAAGACCGAAATGTGAGAGAGGAATCCATCAAAATCCCAGAGGAGAACACAGGCAGTAATCTCTTTGACCTTGGCCGCAGCAACTTCTTACTAGACATGTCTCCAGAAGCAAAGGAAAGAAAAGCAAAAATGAACCATAGGGATTTCATTAAGATAAAAAGTTTCTGCACAACAAAGGGAACAGTAAACAAAACTAAAAGGCAACCAATGGAATGGGAGAAGATATTTGTAAAGGACACATCTGATATAGAGTTAGTATCCAAAATGTATAAAGAACTTACCAAAATCAACACCCCAAAACAAATAATCCAGTTAAGAAATGGGCAGAAGACATACGAATGGCTAACAGACACATGAAAAAAGCTCAACATCACTCATCATCAGGGAAATACAAATCAAAACCACAATGAGATACCTCCTCACACCGGTCAAGAGGAAACACAGGTTCCTAAACAGGAAATTTGCATTCTCTACAAAGTGGGTTATTTTTCCTAAATAACATCACAATGAAGTTTTTAATGATTTTCAAATATTAACCATGACCAGATAGTTTAGTAACCACATAATATTAAAAGCTTATTTTACTTATTTTTTTTATTTTCTTCTTGTCAGTTGTGATACCCCTTTTACTTTAAACCTATGCAGACTTAGTCTGACTAAACCAGCAAAGAATCTTAATTCTCATTCTGGCTATACCAATAACTAGCCATGTGACTTGAGTAGGTTATTCATTTAAAATCTCTGCCCTTGGGGGCGCCTGGGTGGCTCAGTCGTTAAGCGTCTGCCTTCGGCTCAGGTCGTGATCCCAGGGTCCTGGGATCGAGCCCCGCATCGGGCTCCCTGCTCCACGGGAAGCCTGCTCCTCCCTCTCCCACTCCCCCTTCTGTGTTCCCTCTCTGGCTGTGTCTTTCTGTCAAATAAATAAATAAAATCTTTAAAAAAAAAAAAAATAAAATAAAATCTCTGCCCTTGTCAGATGCTCATTTCCTATCGTAGGTTCATTTTGAGGCTTAAATGAGATATACAAGTGCCTTGCAAAGCACCGCATAAATGTTTTGATGGTGTTACTATAAAAGATATGATATAGGTCAACAAGGTTTTATTTGGATCTTTTATCTTAGAATAAAAATTATAAAATATATAGTCTGATAAGGTTCAATAAGGTGAGAAAGATTTTTTTTTTAATTGAGGTATAACTGAGACATAACATCATTTCATTTTCAGGTATACAACATATGATTTGTTATTTATATATATACAATAACAAATCAGTATGGGACATGATCACCATAGTAAGTCTAGTTACCATGCATCACCATCACAATTACAAAGCTTTCTTCTTGTGGTGAGGAAAATCTTTGAGCACTGATATTTTAGATGAAGTTATAGGGAATAAATACACTATTATTTTGTTCTTGTAATGGTGATTACAATGTGTAAGAATCACCATTACAAGCAAATGGTGATTCTTAATGTAATGAGCTTAGCCTATTCCACAAAGAGTAAAGCAAATATGTTTACTAAGAAATATTTGATTTTTATCATGATATACAGCAAAGCAACTCATTATCAATTTTAAAAATCTAAAGTATGATAATTTCTTATATTCAAACAATGAAGCATATTTCTGATGTAATTTTATCAGATGACAAGACACATAAACATACAATCAAAATATCTTCCTTTTATCTAAAAAAGGTTTGTTAACTTTAACTAAATAAATTATTTCATTTTATTTAATATTTTCCTTACCCGTGACTTGAACAAGTGATCATATACTTCTAGTAGTCTAGGTAATGGCACTCCAATCTCATTCATTGTCTGTATTACAAAACCTACATCCCAGTTCAAAGTACAAACTTGCTGCTCTAAAAACTGCACAATAAAATCTGGAGAGGGAAAAAGATCAGAAATTAGAATTGTTAACTCTTCCCACCCCACCCCCCCCGCCCCAACTTACTGAGATAAAATAGCCATACACTGTGTAAGTTTAAGGTATAGAACATGATGATGCGATACGTATATACATTGTGAAATGTTTACTCCGGTAAGGTTAGTTAACAGGTCCTTCACCTCACTTACTCTTTTGTTGGTACAGAATTGTTAACTCCTGGGGAGCCTGGGTGGCTCAGCTGGTTAAGCCGCTACCTTCAGCTCAGGTCATGATCTCAGGGTCCTGGAATTGAGTCCTCAATGGGGCTCCCCACTCAGAGGGGAGTCTGCTTCTCCCTCTGCCCCTCCCCGCCCCGCCTGTGTGCTCTCTCTCTCAAATAAATAAAATCTTTAAAAAAAGAAAACCAATTTTCAAAAAATTTTTTATAAAAATAAGTGATATATCAGAATAGGCAAATATATAGAGATACAAAGTAGATTAGTGATTGCCTAGGGCTGGAGAGTGGGAAGAAATAGGGAGTGATTGCTAATAGGTACATGGTTTCTTTCTGTGGTGATGAAAATGGTCTGAATTTAATTGTGGTGACCATTGCACAACTGTGAATATGCTATACAATTTAAAGCTATTAGTAAAAAAACTACATTTTGGTGAGTTTGGAAAACACAGAAAGGTACATGAAATAGAGACCATTCATAATCCCACTATTGGAGAGGACCCACTGATATTTCTTTAGTATCGTGATATATCCTCAATTTAACAGCTTTTCAGAAAAGAAGGGTTACTGCATCCTGATTTTAGAAATATTAAATGTGTGTGTGTTTTTTTTTTAAGATTTTATTTATTTGACAGAGAAAGAGATGGTGAGAGCAGGAACACAAGCAGGGGAAGAGGGAGAAGCAGGCCTCCCGCCAGCAGGGAGCCTGATGCGCGGCTCGATCCCAGGACCCTGGGATCATGACCTGAGCCAAAGGCAGACGCTTAACGACTGAGCCACCCAGGCGCCCCAATTTTAAATGTGTTTTTAAGTGCCTCACCCCCTCAGATGTGTAAGTTATTTATTTTGATGGTTCTATTTTTAGCCCCATTCTCACTTTTTACTACCTGTCATAAGATCGTAATAGTAACGATCACATTCATATTTATGATCCTTGAAATCTGCGACTGACCAATGTGCATATCCACAGGCAAGAAGAATCACTGAAAAGACTGCCAATGACTGAACCTGCAACTATCCCAGAATCTACCATACAAAACTTTTGCACAGATGATCACATTTCTAAAAACTCTAAAACTTTTTCTAGTTTGAAGCCCCCTAGGGCTTGTTTGCCATTGAAAGATGGACCAAAGAAGAAGAAGAAAGGCCTCTTCTACCCTAAACTTTACTGGGCTCAAAAATTAAAAATCTAAGTCGAAGCAGAAATACCCTAAAAAAAAATTACGTATAATGTGGCCTTTTTATTATTAAAACTATTAAGCTTTAATTTTTTATTTTTTTCATTAATGAAATAGCATGGCAGTTTTTTTTATTTATTTATTTATTTATTTTTAAAGATTTTTATTTATTTGACAGAGAGAGACACAGCGAGAGAGGGAACACAAGCAGGGGGAGCAGGAGAGGGAGAAGCAGGCTTCCCGCCGAGCAGGGAGCCCGATGCGGGGCTCGATCCCAGGACCCTGGGACCATGACCTGAGCCGAAGGCAGACGCTTAACGACTGAGCCACCCAGGCGCCCCTGGCAGTTTTTTTTTTTTAAAGATTTATTTACTTGAGAGAGAGAATGAGAAAGAGAGAGAACATGAGAGGGGGGAGGGTCAGAGGGAGAAGCAGACTCCCCTGTGAGCAGGGAGCCCTGATGCGGAACTTGATCCTGGGACTCCAGGATCATGACCTGAGCCGAAGGCAGACGCTTATTTTAACCAACTGATTCACCTAGGCGCCCCAGCATGGCAGTTTTAAATACTATACTTACAAGATTATAATGACTTTATTTCTTGCCATTTCCAGGAAATAAGTCATAAATCAGAGATGGTCTATAAAAAAGTCTCTATCTTCATTAAATAAACAATTTAATGTTATGTTGTGAGCATTTTCCTGGTTCTCAACATTTTTCAAAGACCCCAGGTGCTTATCATCCTACTTTACAGATATATTTATGTTGATTCTATTCTTTTATTTTTTTTAAGATTTTATTTATTTGAGAGAGAGAGAATGAGAGACAGAGAGCATGAGAGGGAGGAGGGTCAGAGGGAGAAGGAGACTCCCTGCTGAGCAGGGAGCCCGATGTGGGACTCGATCCTGGGACTCCAGGATCATGACCTGAGCCGAAGGCAGTCACTTAACCAACTGAGCCACCCAGGCGCCCCTATTATTTTTTATTTTTTTAAGTAGGCTATAAGCCCAGCATGGAGCCCAGTGTGGGGCTTAAACTCATGACCCTGAGATCAAGGCCTGAGCTGAGATCAAGAGCTGGATGCTTAACCAACTGAGCCACTCAGGCACCCTGATTCTATTGTTTTACAACTGAAGAAAACATTATACATCGGCAAATCTCTAATAATTAGAGTCATATACATAACAATTATAGTAATATAGATGATTAAAGGGTTCAAAAAATTGCATTTTTTAACACAATTATTTGCTATTTTTTTAAAAAGATTTATTTATTTGAGAGAGGAGAATGTGAGCAGGGGGAGGGTCATCACAGGGAGAGGGAGAATTCTAGAGCTGACTCCTTGGTCAGTGGGGAGCCCAATGTAAATCAGGGCTCCATCCCAGGACCCTTAGATCAGGACGCCAAAATCAAGAGTCAGCCACACAACCAACTGAGCCACCCAGGTGCCCCAACTATTTGTTATTTTAAAGAAAAATATGTCCTCAATATAATTAAGAGCAGAGGGGCGCCTGGTTGGCTCAGTCGTTAAGCGTCTGCCTTTGGCTCAGGTCATGATCCAGGAGTTCTGGGATCAAGCCTTGCATCAGGCTCCCTGCTCCGCGGAAGCCTGCTTCTCCCTCTCCCACTCCCCCTGCTTGTGTTCCCTCTCTCGCTGTGTCTCTCTCTATCAAATAAATAAACTCTTTAAAGAAAATATATATATATAATAAGAGCAGTTGAAGCAATCACAGATTGCCCACGCAGAAAAACACTAGCCATTTTTCTTTCCTCTTTAAACTTGTAGAGGGTTACCAACAATATAATCATTACCATCTGTTAGCACTATTCCCCAGACAGAAATATAAACTTACAAGGTCAAAGAAAGTTTCATACCTAACTATTTGTCAACAAATTCTGCTATCTTTGGAGGTCTTTCTGAAGAGGTAGAATTAAACAGCTGAGCTAAACAGCAACAAAGGAACAATTCCACCCTGAAGAACATTATCTTTCCATGTCATTGAAGAAAACCATCAAAAGAAAACAAAACACAACACCCATGATAGCACTTAAGGTTACTGCTTACCTAAAGGAAAGAAGCGAGGTGTGCCAGCATAAATTTTGCCAAGGAGCACAACCTTGAGACTAAGAGCATGCATTCTATCTGAGGAGCTCAACGCTACACTTTCATTCAATTCTGCAAGAAAGAGACACACCATTAGAAACGCAAACTATTTTTAATGTGCAATTGTTTAAATTGGCTATTTTATTCTATTTCAAGGTACAAAATAGCCTACAAATGATATTCTAATATAATGAGCAGATACTGTGTTTCTGCTAGTGTCTGAAATACTTTCCTCTTACCAGACACTGGTTATAGGATTCGAGGAAAGTGTCTCAGAATCCCTTATTAAGAAGTACAACCAAAAATGACACCTCCTTTTCTCAGAGTCCTCTCCAATATAAATTGAGGACATTCTCTAGAGGACCACCCTCCACCACATCCAGGTACCCTCCACTTACCCTCTACTTAGGTATATACAATTTTCATGAGCTCCAGATATATGAAAGCCACTAGCAGTTTGCATTCTTCTACCAAGTCACTACATAACGTATGCTAATATACCTGTAAGTGAGCACTTACCTTTCTCTATGATATCTTGCCAAAGTGTCTGCACCAATATAGGGTCTGAATAACCAGCACAATGAATTATTGCAAGTTTACACTCTGCAAGTTTAAATGGGTCAGCAAATTCCCCATAAAGCTGTCGGAGAAAATGCCAACATTATACATACAACCAGAGGTCAAGAGTCAGAAATTAATAGTGATGCACTCCTTGAAAATTAAAAATGATCAAAGATTTTATCAAAAGTTCTTAAAAAATACGATATAAAGATGTGATGACATGCAGCTGGTCATAACTCCAGATTAAGAATGGTGAAGGCTTGGTAAATGCATTTAAACAGATTTCAACATGTGTGCCTCCAAAGCCCCCCCCGCTCCTCGGCTGGCAGGGAGATACTGCAATAACATGTCTTTTATAATTAGCATTGTCTAAATCAGGGTTTAAAGAATCATAGAATCATGGAAACACAAGTCTCAGGGTGCTTCATGGTACTTGGAGAAATGTCCAAGAATTATTGAAAAAGGAACTGCTCTGAAGTACAGAGTGGGAGCGGCTTGGAGAGATAAGCAAAGATAAGTTACTTTTCCAAGACAATAAGCAAGGCCATAAAATAGATCGCAGGAGGTTTAACAAAGCTTGATGTGAGGCTGAGAGATTCTTGAGAGAAAACAGCCTATAAAGAGGAAGTTAGCTCTTCCTAAGAGTCAGATACCACAGCAGTGATCTGTCAGCCCAGCAATGTGCTCCCCAGGACGGCTTATCGTAATTTTGTGGAGATAGATTATCTCCACATTTTTTGCATTCTACTGCAGAATGCAAAAAAAAAAAACAAAAAAAACACAAAAAACCAAGGAATTTGTAGATATTAGATATTTGTAGATATTAGGTGACTGCTAGAGGAATTCACCTTGCTTTTTTATTACCTTAGTTATGTCCATTAGCTCAGAATCCAGCTGAGAAATTGCATCCTGTACAGAAGAATGATGGGAATACTGCCTTCGTAGTGTCTCTTGTATCTGAAGTTGGATCCTAGCAACCTAGTTTGGATTAAAAAAAAAGCAAGTCTTAAGTTCTTGATGATAAATCAACAAGTACTTGAAGGAATGATTCCTAGTATCTGACTTTAAGTTAGTTAAAGTAAAAATAATGTATAAATAACAGCATAGTGACTGGAGTTAATAACACTGTATTGCATATTTGAAAGTTGTTGAAGAAAATAGACTGTAAAAGTTCTTATCACAAGAAGAGATTTTTGTAATTGCGTATATGGTGATAAATGTTAATTAGACTTATTATGGTGATCATTTTGCAATATCTAAAAATACTGAATCATTACATTGTATACCTGAACTAATATAATGATATGTGTCAATTATACCTCAATAAAAAAAATGAACAAATGAAGATTTCTATCATAACAACCTGGCAGCTCTTCATCACAACATAAAAGATCTCACAGCAAGTGTACTATGGCAGAGCGCCCTTGCTACCACGCTAACACCCATCTCTCCCACTACTGCAGCCAGACAATGGCGAGACCCTATTTTCCAACCTCCTCTGTAGGGAGATAGGGCCATTAAGACTAAGTTCTCTTCAAAGGAATGTAAGTGGAAGTAAAGTATGTCACTTCAGGGCTGAAGGTCTTTAAGAGAGTGAATGTGCTTATTACATGTGATTTTTTCTCTTACTCCCTCTGACAGAAGAAAAAGGTAAGGCCACAGGGAATGGTAGAGCCAGAAAATAGAACTTGGGTATTAAAATCAATCAAGTGGAAGAAAGCCACTTTCTTCAGGGACACCCACTCTGGATATTTGTGAATGAGAAATAAGCCTTTGTATTTGGACCATTATATACTTTTGGGTCTCTTAATTAGGGCAGGTTAGCCTACTCTACTTCACATATCTACTCATTAGCTTCCAGAATAAATGGTAAATGTGATATAATCTCGTGTTGGAATAGTTGGAAAAAAACTTTAGAAATGCCACAGAGAAAAAATTTAATTACAGCAATGTCCTGTGACCCAATATAAGATTTATGTCTAAATATGAAAATAAATACATATAGGCAGAAGAGACTAAATTACTAATACCGACTGCTACTGACTTATGACTTACTAGAGGAAGGGAAAATGGAATAAATGGAGTAAATGCAGGCAAAGTTTAAGTATCTTTAGCGCTTACTTCCATTTTTTCTTCTAATTCATGAAGGAATTCACCATCTGCAGCTATCGATGAAATGGCAGTGGAACTTTTGGCACTAAGAATGGCTCGAGCAATGTACTCTAGTCGCTGCTGAAGTGAAATTTCTGTGCTGGGGGCGGAAAACCTTATTTTTATTTATATGAATTCTTAAGGATCCAATATACAAATATATTAATTATGACGCACTATTTTGTATATACCAAATGAACATAAAAGGCCATTAGAAACTTGAAAAACCTATTAGACGGGGGGTGCCTGGGTGGCTCAGTCGTTAAGCGTCTGCCTTCGGCTCAGGTCATGATCCCAGGGTCCTGGGATCGAGTCCCACATCGGGTTCCCTGCTCAGTGGGAAGCCTGCTTCTCCCTTTCCCACTCCCCCTGCTTGTGGCTTGTGTTCCTGCTCTTTGATTAAAAAAAAAAGAAAAAGAAAAAACTATATTAGAGGGCTTCTAATAAAAGAGATCTACAGTTTAAGGCAACAAATAAAAAAAATACTTAAGTTTACATCCAAAAAACTTCCTATTTTAAAACTTTAATTCAGTATATTAAAACTTGGATTCTTCTAAACACTAAACTAAGGAAAATGTTTTGTTTTGTTTTAAGATTTTATTTATTTGACAGAGAGAAACACAGCGAGAGAGGGAACACAAGCAGGGGCAGTGGGAGAGGGAGAAGCAGGCTTCCCACCGAGCAGGGAGCCTGATGCGGGGCTTGATCCCAGCACCCTGGGATCATGACCTGAGCCGAAGGCAGGCGCTTAACAACTGAGCCACCCAGGCGCCCCAGGAAAATGTTCTTTATCACTCCTCCTATTTTTCACTTCTCTACCTTAATATGGCTAATACTATATGTGATCCTCCACAAAGCAACTAGAGTGACCTCTTAACAAAAATCAGATTATGTCACGTGCCTTCACCTACTCCTTCAACCTCCTCTCCTTTCACATGCTCCCGTGTTCACTATCTCCAACCCCACTGGCTTTCTTTTTTGTATCCTAAACATGATAACCTTGAATCTGATACAGTGCCTCTGCAGAGACTATTTTCCTAAGCTTGGACATCTACATGTCCTCCTCTACATCTTTAATAGCTGTCCATTCTTGTCATTTGAGAATCAATTTTCCTAACAATTTGTCTGAGGCCTTATCTGACCAATCTTAATTAAAGCAGCTCCTCACCCTTCCCTCCCCATCAGGCCCTTTCTACTATATTATCCTATTTTTGTATGTATAGAACCTGAACTTGTGTCTGCGGTCTATACCCACTAGAATGGGAGCTCTTGGGAACAAAGGTGGTGTTTACGTTGTTCACTACTCCTTTCTGCATGCCTTGAACGTACATCACTGGTGCTCAAAATCTATTTCCTGGCTGGCTGGCTAGCAGGTGTCAGAAAGTCCCAAGCATGTATCCACCTACATGGTTACCATCTTCAGTCCTTTCTAATCCCTTATCAGACTTGGTTCTTTGACATTACAAAGTGACTTGGCATTAAAAACAAACACATTTAGTTGTTGGCAACCTTTCATACCAACCAGTAATTAAATGTAACTTTTGATATCCCCATTAATTCCAATTTGAATCAGGAAAAAGCTAGCTTTCTTTTAATTTCAGAGATCTTAAACTGTCCTTCTGTATAGCTATGGCTCCCATATTTTTCCCCTTCTAAGAAAAAAGAAAGGGAGGGAGGTAGAGAGGAAGGGAGAATTAACTCCTTTCTCCCTTCTATCTTTCAAAGTACAGATGCAGATGACAGTTACTTAGCACTGACCATCTCTTAATGTTGCACATAAAGGACTATTTAGTACATTTAGGACCTGTTTCTAAAAGAGCTTCCCTTTCTTTCCCCTCTCATCTCTAAAAAAAGCCCTATTTGACCCAAACATATTAAAAGTGGGTAACATTTCCAAATTATTTAAAATAGAAATTCTATAGATGCCAAATTATTTGCTGCAGCCTATATATGCAAAAAAGAGTGTAGTGAGAAAGAGAGCAACATTATAGTTGGAAAAATACTTTACTGTGGAGAAAGATGGTAAGCTGAGACAGAGTAGAAGGACAGTGTATCTCACATGAGGAGGAAATTAGGTTATACGTGTTATGTATAGGGTGCCTGGGTGGCTCAGTCAGTTAGGTGTCTGCCTTTGGCTTAGGTCATGATCCCGGGGTCTTGGGATTGAGCCCCACGTCGGGCTCCCTGCTCAGTGGGAAGTCTGCTCTTCCCTCTGCCCCCCACACTCTCTATCTCTTGCAAAAATAAATAAAATTTATATGTGTTATGTATAAAGTAGATATGGATAATGAGTGTTCTTAAAAGTTAGAGAATTTCTGAATATTTTATTTAATTTTTAAAAAAGATTTTATTAATTTGACAGAGAGAGAGAGACAGCAGAAGCAGGGAGAATGACACACAGAGGGAGAAGCAGGCTCCCCACTGAACAAGGAGCCCAATGTAGGACTCAATCCCAGGACCCCGGGATCATGACCTGGGCCAAAGGCAGACACTTAACAACTAAGCCACCCAGGCAAACCTTCTGAATATTTTATAACAACAATATAACAATAAAAAAGGTCAACAAATACTAAGGGAAGGCCAATTAAGAATACATATGTACAAACACTTGGTATTACAGTCACATCTAGACTCTTTAACTTTTATTTATTTTTTTAAAAGATTTTATTTATTTGACAGAGAGAGAGAAAGAGCACAAGCAGGGGGAGCGACAGGCAAGGGAGAGGGAGAAGCAGGCTCCCTGCTGAGTAAGGAGCCTGATGCGGGGCTCAACCCCAACACCCCGGGATCATGACCTGAGCTAAAGGCAGATACTTAACTGTCATAGCCACCCAGGCACGCTGCTTATTTATTTTTAAAGTAGCCTCTATGCCCAACATGGGGCTTGAATTCACGACCCTGAGATCAAGGGTCACATGCTCTACTGACTGAGCCAGCCAGGCGCACCATAAATTACCATTCTGATTAACTTGGTTTAAAAATAGCTTTGCTTCCACAACCTCTTCTTCCTAACTTAACGAATCTCCAGTTTTTAGAAATAGGACTTGTGTTATTTTGGTAAAGAAGATTCCAAATGAAAATACGTCAAATTAATGATATGTCCAAGATTGTATTGTTTTTTGATATGATAATCTAACTAGAAATTTCAATGCTTTTTTTTTTTTACGATTTTATTTATTTATTTGCCAGAGAGAGACACAGCCAGAGAGGGAACACAGCAGGGAGAGTGGGAGAGGGAGAAGCAGGCTTTCCACAGAGCAGGGAGCCCGATGCGGGGCTCGATCTCAGAACCCTGGGATCGTGACCTGAGCCGAAGGCAGACGCTTAACGACTGAGCCACCCAGGCACTCCTCAATGCTTTCTTTAGTAAGATTCTTAACAGTCTTCAACATATACACTCAAAACTTTTTTGGTAATTTAAAATAGAGCAGAGGAAATTAGTCTAGAATTAGTAAAACATTTAAAATTATAAAGCCTTTGAGAAGTTTTTGTCCTTTTAATTAAGAATATTAATTGGGGCGCCTGGGTGGCTCAGCTGGTTGGGCGGCTGCCTTCGGCTCAGGTCATGATCCTGGAGTCCCTGGATCGAGTCCTGCGTTGGGCTCCCTGCTCAGCGAGGAGCCTGCTTCTCCCTCTAACCTACCCGCCTCTCATGTACTCTCTCTCTCTCAAATAAATAAATAAATCTTTAAAAAAAAAAAAAGAATATTAATTAACTGCTTAGTAGGAAAGACTCTAAAGACATACTTTAAAGAAGAGATTTAGAAGATAGTTTGACTAGAGAGGGTCTTGGGTATTTAGTATCTCCCATACACTATTAAAAAAAAGAAAAAAAAACTGTAAACTTTAGGTAAATCCAAGTAAAAGCATAAGAACTCTGTATACTATAACCTGAATAAGGTGTTAATTTCTGAAATCTGGATTTATCTAGTTATAGGTCAGTTATCAATCATTATACATAGTAGTAAAAGTATTATACTATACCTATGCATGTCAGCCAATTTGGACAGGACACGAGCAGCATTACTAAAACTTCTGTTCTTTTCATAATACCTCCAGAGTAAATCCATATAACGAACTTTGTTTTGATCAACTTTGGCCATTCGGACTAGATGTGGCTCCAGAAATGGAGAAGCAATCTGCAAATTATACAGTCACTCAGAAACATTTTCTGGACTAGGCACTTGCTTTTTATGTAGTAACTATAACATTTTTAAGTCAACTATAGGTATGCCTTACTTCATGAATACACAAGCAAAATTATAATCCAACAACAGAGGGCAATTTCTTTCATTATAAATGATTTTTACCAGAGTTAACCAAAGAGTTGCTATAAAAAGTTGAATTAGGCTGATTAAACTAATCATAATCCAGTTACCAATTTTTTTTTAATTTTAATTTTTTTGAGACAGAGTGAGCATGGAGGGCAGGGAGAGAACCCCAAGCAAGCTCCATCTTACAACCCCAGGATCATAACCTGAGACAAAATCAAGAGTTGAATGCTTAACCGACAGAGCCATCCAGGCACCCCCAATTAAAATCTTTTAACAAACTTTGAAAACACAGCTACTGATTCCTAGACTTGGAGCTCAAAGACATCCTTGCCATTATCAAATGCCACACATTTATTTTACAGGCTGAAGAATACTGAGACATAGGATAGTAAAAAGACATGTATGAAGTCACATACTGAATTAATGGCAGAGGTAATGCCAAGTTTAGGACTCCTAATTCACAATCCAATGATTTCCATCCCACAATATAAACAACCCAAATCAGCTTCACAACAACAAGAAAATTAGAGCAATAGTTTACCTTGCCCACCAGGAAAAGACATTACATTACTTGGCTTGACACTAATACCTAATGGTAGGTTCAGGATAAGAAAATGATTTTCCTGTATCTATGTATTTTTAATTTTTATTTATTTTTAAAGATTTTACTTATTTGACAGAGAAAGAGAGAGCAAGAGTGTGAGCAAGCACAAGGAGGGAGAGTGGCAGACAGGGGGAGAGGGAGAAGCAGGGTCCCCACTGAGCAGGGAGCCCAATGCAGGGCTTGATCTCAGGACCCTGAGATCATGACCTGAGCCAAAAGCAGATGCTTAACCGACTGAGCCACCCAGGTGCCCGTCCTTCAACTATGTATGTGCTACCTGAAAATACAAATTAACAATACTGGAATAAAAAAAACTTTTTTTACCTGCAATAACTTATCTGCAAGATCAGCTTGTATTAGCCAATTATAAAGGGCAATACTAAAGAGCTCATCTTTGGATCGTTGAGACAATTTAAGCATTTGTTCAAACTAAAATAAAAAAAAAATAGTAAAAATTAGTAGTTAAAGGCTCTCTTGCTGGACATCATAACCATCAGCCTTATAAAATCCTGAAATCAAGAATCTTTAAATGTTTATTTCTAAGATCTACTACCTATCCCAAAAGGAGCTGCTACCAGTACCACACAGAACTTCTAAACAATGTATTTTCAGGATAAAAATATGCTATGTCCCTTACGTGATGTCCTGCTTCTTCATTACTCAGCATATTGGGATCAGATGACAATACTGGAGGCCCAGGTTTTTTGGGTACACTGGGAGACTGAGGAGCAGCCTTACTTTGATTTACCAATTCTTGAAGTGTATCTGTAATACACTTGTAACTGTTTAATCTGAAAAAGAATGGAAAAGAAGCAACTGCATTATTTAATTAGACAGCAACTAATTTAAATACACAGAACGATTTGAAGACTATTTTGAGGAGGAGATATATGTACACACACACATATATTTGGTATTAAAATATAAATTGTATACTTTTTCTAGGTTTGAGAAATATGTGGTTAACCATAAAAGGGTGAAGTCATAAAAATTAATATATTAATAAAAAACATGTTTTAGATAGGTTATATATTTCCTTTATGGACACACATTTTTTTCTTCTTTAACAGTCACTACTAATTTGTGAACATTTAAAAATTGTAGCATAAAATAAAATACTAATCTTCACCCAGAACCAGAAATTAGGTGGTAGTTGGGGGGGAATGGTTCCAAATAAGTTATCTCATTTAAAATTGACATTAGTAAAGTGTCATAAAAACCAGAGGCAAGTTGAAAAACATTTATAAGTCCTTAAGAATTTCCACCAGATTATGGGGCACCTGGGTGGCTCAGATGGCTGAGTGTCTGCCTTCAGCTCAGGTCATGATCTCCAGGTCGTGGGATCAAGCCCCACATCAGGCTCCCAGCTCAGTGGGAAATCTGCTTCTCCCTCTCCCTCTGCCTCTCCCCCCTGCTTGTGCTCTGTCTTTCTCTCTTAAATGAATAAATAAAATCTTAAAAAAAAAAAAGAAAAAGAAAAAGAATTTCCACCAGACTAAAACTTGAACCCTAAGCTAAGAATTATAATCCTAATTTAGGCCCGTGATAAAAAAAAGACATTTTTAAGTGAAAGCATAATTCAATTTTATAAGTGTTGTACTTAAGATATTATTTTCCTAATACAATCAATCAAACTGTACACCAAGGAAAGCTGACAAGCTGCTCAGGTGACAAAACTTGCCTTTCTTGGAAAGCCTGCAGTCCCACGATGTCTTCTTCTGGTTCTCCATGTTTATAGAAATGAAGTCCAAGACCCTGAGGATCTTTTTTTTCTGCAGCAGTAAGAGAGAGCTCCACTACACCCTCATAAAAACGGACTAATGGCAAAGGAAAAGGACAAGATAAGGCTTATTAAGCCGGATGCGTTTTTCCTTAGCTGGTTTATAAAAATACTGATCAAGGTTTTTATATCTCTACTGTATGGTAGTCACCTTGATGATACTATCATATAAAATATGTCTGGGGAATCTACCAAAGAATAAGGTACCAACATGCCTAAAAGGCAGCTATTGTGTATATTTTCTTCAATGGAAAAAAACTTTCAAAGTTAGAGTAACAAAAGGGAAGGATTCAGTTCCTTGATGGAAAAAAAAATCTTAGCATTCAAAACAGTATCTGGGCTAACAGTTATTACTTTTACATTATGCTAGATCTGATTTAAAGTAATTTTAAAAGCAAGCAGACAGGTACTATTTTAAAAATTAGTCAAAAGAATTTAAAGCATCCAAAAAATAAATGTAACCCAGGACTCTATCTAATACAGATAGCGGTTTAACTGGACAAGGACTGAAACTCCTGTGTTAAAAAGTTACATATTTCAAGATATAAAAAGAGCATTATAGTTTTTGCAGAAGCTAGTGCAGTCATCAAATACTAAAACACAAGGCATGAGTTTCCCTTGTCACATCACTTGGGAAAGTGAAGTTGAAGAGGGATTTGCTTCTGGGAAGAGGCTCTTTATCAGTAGCTTGTTTTATTCAGTCATTTGTCTCCTGAGTTAAGAAAAAGATATGAAAAACATTTTGTTTCTCACCTTGTCTATACTGAGCACAAACACTGGAAAGGTCCACTTGATTGCTGATTTTCTGATATTCCTTTAAGGATTCTCTTAACATTCTTTCCTTTTCAATCTTATTTTGAACTTGTCGGGAACGCTGGAGGAGTTCATTTGCCTAGAATCAGAGATGACAGGAACTTAAAAAGATGTAAAATCCAGCATATAGATGATGTTATCAACATAAGTCTTGGTCTGTGTCTCCATTTACATCTGGTTTATTATCATAAAAAATAAAAACTCTACAAACTTACTTCTTCTTAATTTTAGGCAGAAAAATTTTTGACCAAAAAATCCTAGCTATTTTTAATTCCTTTCACAAATATTTTCAGCAAGATAGCTTTGACTGGTAAACCTCTTGCCTAGTCAATACATTATTGGTCAGCAGGCAGTCCATGTGATACTGATTTTTTTAATATTTTCAACCTGTAAGAAAGGATCAATAAAAACTGCCCAATTGACTCTAACTTATTATAGACTTAAAGTTTTAGTAATTTTTAATTTCTAAGGAGAAACATATTTAACCATTTAAAAAATATGGTCTAGAAATACTATCAAGATTGTTTATGAAAAACTTAAACATACAAGGATTTTAAGAAATGATGTATTCCAACTCCTCTCATCATACAGATGTGGACTCTGGAGGCCATGAGAGGTTAGGAGACCTACCCAAGAGACGTTATATGTTGAGTAAAAGATGGTTTCTGATTCCAGTTCTATTGTGCTTTTTATACCATGAAACCCCCTTTACGAAACACTGAAATAGCTGATAAAGCATCATACCTTAGAACAAATTGCATCATCAGTGCTATATAGAAGTGGGCAGATATCCTGTAAGTGTAAACTAATGCCATCAACAGCAGCATTATCTCTGATGTAGCAGTTGATAAGAGAAGCAATTAATGCCCCGGTCAGTTCCTTGTCCCTGATTACCAGATCTTTAAAGGTGGTGATTTTCAGCTGCTCTTGAAATTCCTAGGAGTATAAGAAAAAGTCCTTTTTTCTACCAAAAATATAGGAATATCCTATTTCTACCTGGAACACAATTTCTTTAACAATTTAAAATAACCAAAAAATTAACAGACTCTATAATTCAAAAAGAAAATATGCTAAACTATACAGACTAGCACATTTTTGCAAACTTCCATAGAACCATAGAAAATTGTTAAAGAACCCACTGTATGACCAGTCTAAAGCTCTCAATTTACAAATGAGAAAAGTAAAATGTAGGCAGATCCAAAATTAGAGCCAGGTCTCCTGATTTTAGTCACAACCAGAAAGAATAATCACTTAGCTACATTAAAAAATCTTGGGCTTACAGGGCGCCTGGGTGGCTCAGTTGGTTAAGCATCCGACTCTTGATTTCAGCTCAGGTCCTACAAATGGACCTTGAGAGCTCGTTTGGAGGTTCTAGCAGAGACACACAGCTACTCGTATACTCTTGACCGAAGAATGGTCCGCCTCTATCAGGGAAGGTCATCCTCTTTGAGCACAAAGCTTTGGAAGGGATGCACATGGAGTGGTGAGGGAGAAAGGGACACCTGCCTAGCCAGTCAGATCAGCCGAGTCAACCCTGGTGATCAATGGGCGTGACAGATTCACATCACACCTTTCCTTACAAATACATAGTAAACTATACAGGAGTGAAATGACACGGTGTCTAGGACCATCTTTAAAGTAATTTGATAAAGAGAATAGATTAATGAAAGTTAATAAAATCTTGAAAATGCTGAATATAAGCATATATGGGGATTATAATATAGTATTTACTCTATTTTTGTCTACGTTTAGAAATGTTCACAATAATAGGTAGGAATACATTCCCCTCAGTGTCCTAACATTTAAATGAATGCAAATTGCCATTATACTTAAAAAGGATTCAAATGAGGACAGCAAAAGAAATATGACCCATTCATTTCTCACAATGGTAAACATCTTTCTTTAAAAGAAGAACGTTTAAAAAAAATAAATAAATAAAAGAAGAATGTTTAAGTCACTGGACTCTTTGAAATTACATGCAAAAATCTTGTGGATGTATCTGTATGCATTCTTTGAGGGTGGGAAGAAAGAGTTTTGATCAAATTCCCAAAGGGATCTGAAACCCAAATAATGGTTACAATCTACTGTTTAAAAAATATATTTTTGGTAAAGATTTCATTCATATACCACACGATAAAATTCTCACATACTGTAAAAACTTGTGGTTTTGACAAAGCAGATCCCGCAAGCTTTCATGCTTTAGTGCAATCTTCCATTAAGAAGATTTCCATTAAGCAGATATTAACTTAATCATAACCTAAATGCTTCTCCCCAAAAGTCCCCTCCCAAACCCAAATATAAGATTAAAGCTTACTCAAAAGAAAACAAACTAAGCACAGCATTAACAGTATGATCTTAAGGAAAAGAAATCCTACCTTCTGAAGTTCTCCTACAATGACAGTGAACTGATGTTCACAAAGAAGCTTCCATAAAGCCAGAGCCTGGTATGATTTTCGAACCAACTGCTGGATTGCCTGAAGTGAAACCTTTTCACTCAGTTGAGCCTCTAATGACAAAACACAACTAATGAAGTTTTATACAATGACATAGGTTGTTTTAAGTAAAACAACACTTTACTTTCAATAAGAACAACTATAGTTAAGGCTTAAATCCTTACTGGTAGCCTCCTTCCCCTCATCACAGCCAACCATGATCATGATTTGTTGAATTCATGCTTTTTATCCTGTCATTATGTGTATGTGCTTCTATGCGTCTGTGTGTACACATAAACAACAAAAACACTGCTATTTTTAAACATTTACACCACTGCTTTTTCCACCCAGCTGTATTTTCACAGGCTATCTATCAGTATAAATCTAATGTATTTAAATTACTGGATGTTCCATCACGTAAGTATACCACAATTAGGTCCATTTTCCACCTTAAGGATATTTATTTTTTTTTTAATTTTTTATTTATTTATTTGAGAGAGAGAGAATGAGAGATAGAGAGCACGAGG